TCAGGACAGTGTCATATTTGAAGGACAGACACATAGATCAAGATAGAATCCAGAAGTAGACCCACATAATAAGCATGTCAGACAGATTTTTGACAAAAATACAAAAGCAATTCAACAGAGGAAGAATAGTTTTTTAAATAAATGGTGTTGTTGGAACAACTAGACTTTCATAGGTTAAAAAAAAAAAGAAAGAAAGAAAGAAAAAGCTTTTACCTAAACTTCACACCTTATATAAAAATTAACTGAAAATAAATCATAGAGCCCTGACCGATTTTGCTCAGTGGTTAGAGCATCATCCCGGGATCGGTTCCTGCTAAGGGCGCATACCTCAGTTGCAGTTTGTCCCTGGCCCCAGTTGGGGTCATGTGGGTGGTAACCACTCCATGTGTCTCTCTCACATCGATGTTTCTCTCTCTGTCTTCCTCCCTCTCTCCCTCCCACTCTATGTCCTCAGGTGAGGATAATAAATAAATAAATAAATAAATAAATAAATCGTAGCTCTATATGTAAACTATAAAACTTTTAGGAAAAAATATTCATAACTGGGGTTTGGCAAAGATTTCTTAGACAAGGCACCAAAAGCAAACTCATTTTTTTCTTTAATCCTCACCTGAGGATATTTTTTTTTACATTTATCTTCAGACAGAACTGGGGGGGAGGGGGAGAGAGAGAGAAACATCGATGTGAGAGAGACACATCAATTAGTTGCCACCTGCACAACGCCAGCCGGGGCCAGGGATGAACTGCAACCGAGGTAAGTTCCCTTGGTTGGAGTCAAACCTGGGACTCTTTGGTCTGCAGGCTGATGCTCTAACTGCTGAGCCAAACTGGTCAGGGCACAACTCATTTATTAAAAATTGGTCATTGGTCTTCATCAAAATCCAAAATTTCTGTTGTGTAAAAGACCTTATGAGAATGAAACAACCATCCCCTTTCTGGAGAATAATATGCTGACAAAAGACTTTTCCCCAGAATATATTTAAAAATCCCCAAAACTTAACATTAAAAAACAAACAGTTCCACCCAGTGGTATGGCTTAGTGGTTGAGCACTGGCCCATACATCAAGAGATCACCAGTTCAATTTCAGGTCAGGGCACATGCCCAAGTTGTGGGCCTGATCCCTAGTGGGGGGCATGCAGGAGGCAGCCAGTCGATGTTCTCTCTCATTGACGATTCTATCTCTCCCTCTCCTTTTCTCTCTCTCTAAAAATCAATAAAGAAAAAAAAAAACTAAAAAACAAAATGAAACAACAGTCCCATTAAGAAATATAGAAAAGCTGGTTTGGCTCAGAGATTAGAGCATTGGCCTGTGGATCAGAGTCCTGGGTTTAGTTCCCGCTAAGGGCACGTACCTTGGTTGCAGTTTGTCCCCGGCCCCGGTTGGGGTCATGTGGGTGGCAGCCACTTGATGTGTCTCTCTCACATCAATGTTTCTCTCTCTCTCTCTCCCTCCCGCTCTATCTGAAAATAAATGCAAAAATGTCCTCGGGTAAGGATAAAAAAAAAAAAGAAATATAGAAAAGACAGATGCTTCACAGATAGCAAAAAGACATGAAAAAATGTTTCACCTGGATTAGCCATTAAGGAAATGAATATTAAAACTACAGTGAGAGCCCTGGCCGGTTTGGCTCAGTGGTTAGAGCGTCCACCTGCGGTCCAGAGAGACCGGGTTCGGTTCCCGCTAAGGGCATGTACCTCGGTTGCAGTTTGTCCCTGGCCCTGGTTGGGTCGTGTGGGTGGCAGCCACTCGATGTGTCCCTTTCACGTCAGTGTTTCTCTCTCTCTCTCTCCCTCCTACTCTATCTGAACAAAAAATGGAAAAATGTCCTCGGGTGAGGATAAAAAAAAAAAAAAAACTACAGTGAGATACCACTTCACAACTATCAGAATACTAAAGTAAAAACGCTGACAATACCAAGTGAGGAATGGAGCAACTGGATCTCTTATACAGTATTTTTTGTTGTTGTTAATCCTTACCCAAGGATTTTTTTTTTCCATTGATTTTTAGAGAGAGTGGAAGGGAGAGAGGGAGGGGAAAGAGGGAGAGAGACAGAGAAACATTGATGTGAGAGAGACACATCCATTGGTTGCCCCCCACCACATGGGCCCCAACCCGGCAAGGGAGTGAACCTACAACCCAGGTACGTGCCCTTGGCCGGGAATTGAACCTGCGACCCTTCTGTGCATAGGTCAACTCTCTAACCATTAAGCCACACCATCCAGGGCTCTTATACACTATTGCTGGTGGAAATGTAAAATGGTACAGCCACTTTGGAAGACAGTTTGGTGTTTTCATAAAATTATACATACACTTAATATATTATTAATTTCCTATGGCCACTGTAACAATTACCACAAAATTGGTGGCTTAACATAGTAGAAATTTATTCTCTCACAAAGTACATATAAAAACTGGTATAGCCCTGGCCAGCCACTCAATGTGTTCCTTTATTTATTTATTTAATCCTCACCCGAGGACATTTTTCCATATTTTGTTCAGATAGAGTGGGAGGGAGAGAGAGAGAAAGAAACATGGACGTGAAAGGGACACATCGAGTGGCCGCCACCCACACGACCCCAACCGGGGCAAACTGCAACTGAGGTACATGCCCTTAGCGGGAACCGAACCCAGGTCTCTCTGGATCGCAGGCCGATGCTCTAACTGCTGAGCCAAACCGCACAGGGCCAATGTATCCCTTTCATGTCGATGTTTCTCTCTCTCGCTTTCTCTTCCTCTTTCTCCCTCCCACTCTATCTGAACAAAAAATGGAAAAATGTCCTCAGGTGAGGATAAAAAAAAACAAACAAACAAACAAAAAAAACTGGTATAATTCGCCCAGCCAGTGTGGCTCAGTGGTTGAGCATCGACCCACGCACCAAGAGGTCACCAGTTCAGTTCCCGGTCAGGGCATATACCCAGGTTGTGGGCCCAATCCCCAGTGGGGAGCATGCAGGAGGCAGCCAATCAATGTTCTCTCTCATCAATGTTTCTATCTCTTTCTCTCTTCCTCTCTATCTAAAATCAATAAAGAAAAAAAGGTTAAAAATTTTTTTTAACTGAACAGGATCAATAGTAGCTTAGTAAATAGTATTATATCAATGTCAGTCTCCTGGTTTTGAAATTGTTTTATGGTTACATAAGATGTTATCAATGGGGAAAGCTAGGTAAAAGATATACTGGAACTCTGTACTATTTTTGTAACTTCTTGTGAGTCTTAAATTGTTAAAAAAACAAAGTTAAAAAAAAACAAAGAAGAAGAAATTTACTGACTCTGTAGGTGATTAGTCCAAAAGTAGGGTTGGGCTTTAAGCATGGTTTGAATAGAAGTTCACAATGTCCTCAGGCTTGTGACTACGTCCTCTGAGATTCTCTCCACTCTACCCTCTATTTGTGTTGGCTTTCTCCTCAGACTTACTTTTCTCATGGTAGTAAGTTGACTGCCAGCAGTTCCTTGGACTACATGCTTTTTGTTCCCCTTTGTATGCCAGGAGGAGAAGGAGGGAGCCATCTTTTCCTTCATCCATGAGGAAAAAAATAAAAGCCTGAGCTCTACTCTGATTGGACCACCTTATGTCATGTGCCCACCCCTAAACTAATCACTGTGCCCAGCGAAATACTGTGTACTGATTGCCGGTCCCCTTGGCAAAGGAATGGGATTACTTGATTGGCTCAGATCAATCAGTTCCCACTCCTGTAGCTGACGTGGTGCCATCCCACCCAAATATAATTGCTATTACCAGGTGGGGAAGGGGAAGAATAGATGTTGGATAGCCAACTCCAATATCCAGTACAACTTACTTGAAATTCACTCTTCCCTTGGTTTCAGAGGCACCATTTTTCCTAGATATTCTCCATCAATGGGTTTTAAAGCATAAGAGTTTTCTAGACAGAGAAGGTATAAAGTATCATTCTAGAAGAAACAGCACAAAGCCCAGAGATGTGAAGGAATGGACCCATTTTGGGAATAATAGTCGAGTTCATGAGGGAAGAGTGTTTAGTAATGAAGCTGAAGAGAAGAGACAGGACCAGCAGCAAAGAGCCTTGAATGCCACCTCAAGTATCACAGGCAATGGGAAAACATTGACGGCTTTTGAGAAAGAATAGTACATAGACTCACTTGACCTTATAAAGATCTTTCTGGCTACAGCCTAGAGGATAGACTGGAGGGGGGCTGAGTGGAGGCTGCTGCAGTGCTCTGGGCAGAAGAAGATGAAAGCCTCACCAAGGGCGGTGGCCTTTAGGATGGAGAGAAATGGATGCAAATGGCAGATAGTGATTTGGTGGAATCAGCAGGACCTGGTGAACTGCTTGGCTTTGTGAAGGGATTGGAGGAGAAGGTGTAGGAGATGACTCACATTTCTGGCTTGAACATTTGATACATTATTTTAGGCAGGAATGGCCAATAGTGTCAAATGCTGATAAGTCAAGGGAGATAAGGATTTATAAGTGACCATGGGATTTAGTGACAAATGTTTTAAGGTATGGTGGGGGCAGAAACCAAGAAAATTTCATCAGAATAAGTCAGGGAAGTGGAGAATAATAAAGTCAAGTGAGCTTCCTTTCAAATTCAGATATGGGAGGAGGAGACGATAAAACAGTAGATAAAGAAAGTAATGGAATCTATTCTTAAAATAATGCATGTGTTTACATTTCCCAGCACTTCCCTGCATACTGGTTGTGTAGTAAGCCTGTATCCTCATCTATAAAATTAGTTTTTTAATAGTACCTACCTCATGGGTTTATGGTGAAGGTCAAGGCTTCATATCACATAACAATGGATTAGTCTGTCTCCCCCACTGAACTTTGAGTTCATTAGAAACATTGACAGCTCCTAGTGCATTGTGCGGTATATTGCTAATAAACATTTGTTAAAAGAATGATGCATTTAAGACTCTGAGCACAGTCCTGCCTGCCCAAGGTAAGCACTCAGGAAAGTTAGCCAGGGTGTGTGAGGCTGGTGGGAAGAATGGGATGTAGGAGGAAACCCCATGCCTTCAGCTTGCTGTTTTCCAGAACCCAAGGAGCTGTCCCCTGACTGCCAAGATGAAAATACAGGCAAATCGTTGGAGGTGCCAGGAGTGAGCCCTCTAGCACCTCTAGGGCAGAGTCACCCTTTCCTGAACCCACAGCTGTACTGCAATGAGGAGCAGGTTGTGGACTCCAGACACTTCTTCCAGCACTGCTTCATGGCCACAGTGACCACCAGTGACATTCCAGGCAGCTCTGAGGAGGCCCCTGTCCCCAATCTAATCTCACATGGACCAGCTCCATAGATATCCAATAAATGTCTCTACACCATTCTCTTCTGGAGTCTCTTTTCAGTGAAAGATGGGGGTGGGGATGATCAAAGGGACTTTAGTGCCTATTGGGGATAAATGAGGGCTTTTCCCAGCAAACCAACCTAGGGCTGCTGTGGACCCAGCTATTCTGCTCTGCCTAGCACACTGTGGACCAAAGGGAATTCAGACCCGGATCCCGAGTGAAATGGTCAGTAACAACTCCATACAATCAAGGAGAAGCCTAGGGCTTCTGTGGAGGCTCAGAAGAACCTGTCACCTAATCTGAGGAGCCAGAGAACCCTGACTTGTTCTTCCTGCCACAGAGCAGATGTACTTAGGATACTATGGAAAATGACTGGCTCCCAGAGGCAGGTGACTCCTGCCTCACCAGCATTTCTGCCCCACTCCCTTGCCAAGGAACAGAATGAGAGGGAATGTAGAGTAGAGTACACGGGGCCCAACCATGTTTAATATCATTCAGTTCCTTAGGTGGATGAAAGAGTGAGCCAACAAGTGAGTGAGGGAGTGAATGATTAGCCGACCAAACACAAGCGCCACAATGTGAATTTGGCCACTTTCTGGCCCTGTATAGCCTTGACAAAGTCCCTTAGTCTCCCTGAGCTTCAGTGCCTTTGCTGGGTTATGGCAAGTGTTCAGAGATGATGGATATGAACCCCTTCATAAACATGAAGGTACTACAAATATTTAAAAATTACAAATGGGTGTTTTTCGATATAACAGTAAGAGCAGGTACTCTGGAGTCAAATGCCTAGTTCAAATCCTGTCCCTGCCCTTACTTGCTAGGTAACATTTGTGCCTTGGTTCTCTCATCCATCTGAGTGGGTATATTAGTAGTACTTACCTCATAGGATTTTGGAGGATTAAATTACTTAGATCATGCAAAGCACTTAGAATAGAGTTGGAAATGGAAAGCTTTTTCTTTGTGTGTGTGTGTGTTTTTTATTTTTAATTAAACTGATAGCAAAGAAATCTTAGGGCAGGATGCTGACTGCCACCCCTCTCTCTCAGCTGTTCTTCTTCTCTCTTTAAAAAAAAAAAAATTTTTTTTTCTTTATTGATCCTAGAGAGAGGGGAAGGGAGAGGAAGAGAGATATAGAAACATCAATGAGAGAGAACATTGATTGGCTGCCTCCTGCATGATCCCCATTGGGGATCGGGCCCACAACCTGGGCATGTGCCCTGACCAGGAATCAAACTGGTGGTGCATGGGTCAACACTCAACCAGTGAGCCACACCAGTCGGGCCTTCTTCTCTTTTTAATTTTGAAAATCCGATGGGCTTTATTAAATAATTTGTGAAAAGAGAAGCATCCCATGTAGAAAGTACAGAAGAGCACCCTCCCCTATTCTCCTCATCTTAACTTGAACAGTGGCTTTAGGCTTTGCCTTGGGAGTGCAAGGCAAGGATTGGTAAGACTCAGTAGCCACTGAAAGCAGCTCTTGACATTTCTGACAGTGACACAATCTGCTGCTGGATTTGACAACAGAGAGTTGGTCACTCTTAGATATCTGTACATGGGGCCCGAGCCAGCAAAGGGCACATGATGGGGTGGCAAGGCAGGGTGAGTCAACCACAGAAGTGCCTTCGGCTAGAAGCCAAGAGACCTCAGTTCTGGTCTTGCTTTATTTGTTGTCGTGTGTGTGGGTGTCTTAGTCTTATTTTCAGCACTCTAAACCCAGCACCTTTGTCTACTTCTTGTATATTCAGTGGCATCTTCTGTGCCAGGATCTGTGCAGGTTAACAGAAACAAAAAGGAATCAGCCACCGCTGCTGCCCTCGGCGGTTCATCTGGGGAGTAACACACAAAAGGGCTGTGGGCCCAGTGGCAGCCCTTCATGCAGTTTAAGAAAGCAATAAGTGATGTTTGAGCTGAATCATCAAAGATGAGTCAAAGTTTCCAAGTAAGACAAGGTCAGAAGACATTATGGTCAGAGTACAACCTGTTCGGAAACCGTGAGAGAGCCTAGCCAAGCCCAGGAACTGCTCGTTGGGGGGAGTTTAGTCTCTGATGTTCTGTGTAATCTTTCATAGGACAGATCCCATCTCTCTCCTTAGCATTCCCATCAGTAAAATCCAATTTTTCTCTGAACACTTTCTGTGCTGAGCCTTCTGGGAGGTTATAAAAAAGACTCCGATTCTTCCCTTGCCTAAGACAATGGCTTTCTTGAGCCTGCATCAGAATCAGCTGGAAGGCTTGTTAAAACATTGCTAGCCCCCTCCCTCCTCTCTCAGAGTGTCTGATTCAGTAGGTCCGGAGAAAGTCCCCAGAATTTGCATTTCTAAGTAGTTCCAGGTGATGCTGCTGCTGCTGGTCTTCAACCACCCTTTGAGCGAGACTGGCCAGGAAGAACAAAGAAGACTCAGAGCTGGAAGGTAGGAGGAGACCTCACACTGAGCAGGGCCTTGAAGACCTGGTAGAATTTCCCCAGCAGGAGCCTGTGTGGATGGGGTAGGGATAGGTGGAAAATAGACTGTGTGCTGTCTTTGCTGACCTACACATCCCAGGCCCATAAAGCCCCTCCCTATCCATTCCCCAGAGTTGGCTTCTCTCATTTGAATTCAATCAATCCTCAGAGCTGGCTCTCACTGGGGTTGGCTTCTCTGAGTCTTGGGCTGGAAACAAACTGCCCACCCTGTGCTGCAGGGACCTCCCTCCCCCAGGGCAGCTGAGGAGGAAGGAAGCTGGGTGGGCTGACGCACAGACAGAAATAGTCTGAGCTCACTGCTGCTCCCAAGCACACATCGACCTGGCAATTATTTCTTGTAAATTGCTTTCCCGGTTATGTTCAGAACATGTGTGTGTGCCTGCCTGAGAACAAACACTCACAGGGCACTGGGTGGAAGTGGATAGCTGGGGAGTGGTATCTAGATAAAGGGGAGCCCAAGTTTGAATTTTCACCAAGAATTAGGGAACTGTTGATTCTTAAAACTTGTAAATATTAGAAACTTCCATTCGCTTTTATAGCACTGTCGGGTGGTTTTCCAGCCTCTTCTCAAACATTCACGTTTATTTGTTCCTTCAACATTGATTGACAATGGTGCTCTGCCAGGATCTGAGCTAAATGAAGTCCCAGTCCCTGTCCTCAAAGAGCTCATGCATATGGTGTCTTCAGAAGATCCCTAACCCAGCCAAGGGCTTCAGGGAAGGCTTCTTGGACTAAGTGATGCCTGAATTAAGTCTTGCAATACCCACAGACAAAGGTTTGTTGTACAAGACAGGGAATAGCATTCAAGGCAGAGGGAGCAACATGATAAGTAGTTCAGTTTGGTGGACACTATAGTCAAGATGGGGAATAGTGAGAAATGAAACTGCAGGGGAATAGGGGCTAAGTCCTGAAGCTTTGCCATATTAAGGGGCTTGGGCTTTATCCTGTCAGGCAAGGGGGAGGCAATGTTTTTTTTTTTTTTATTGATTTTAGAGAGAGAAAGGAAGAGGGAAAGAAACACTGGTGTGAGAAAAAAACATTGATCGTTTGCTTCCTTGCACGACCCAACAAGGGATCAAACCCGCCCTGAAGGTAATTGAATCTTTACCCATCGGTGCACAGGATGATGTTCCAACCAACTGGGCCACATAGGCCAGGACTGGAAAGGGTTTTTTAAGTATACTTAAAGGAACTCAGTACCTTCTCTGATAGCTTGCTCTCATGTTCTTCATGACACTGAAATTAAATTTGCCAACCAGGAGCTCTGTTTTAGAAGGCCTATTGAATGCCTGCCCCTTTCTTTCCCAAAACCTCAGAAGTCTGAGGGACAGTGATGGCTTGTGTGCCCACAAGAAATGGCTCAAGCCCTGGACATATCCCCTCTTATCAGGAGGAGGAGGCCATGCCACTGCCATCTGTGACAGTGGGCTATGACCAGTTTGCTGAGAGGCCAGAGCATGGGGCAACTAAAGCCCAGGCCACCGGCCAGAACCCAAGACAGCCTTGTGCCTTGCTCTGTCCCGGAGACCTGGGAGGCTCTCATGTGTGAAGAAGATATGAACGGCTCCTTTTTCATTCCTCACAGGATCAAGGTCACCAAGGGTGGGTAGTCCATTCAAGGAGTTTGAGCTGAGAATATACTGTGGGCCCAGCACTGTGACAAGCACTTTAGGATAGAAGGTGCAGCCCTGCCTTCAGGGTCCTACTCATGAGGGATGATGAGTAGGTTTGACCCATGAAACCCCTGGAAAGCAATTAGAAAAAGTTTGAAAGCAAATGCCAAGGTGTTAGTCAAAGGCCATTAGAGTTCCAGAAATTCTAAAACCGGAGAAAAGAAAGTCTGGAAATCTTTGTGGAGAAAGTGGGGTTGAATTAGACTTTGATGGAACATGACAATACTTGCAGGGTCTCAGTGAGGTAGAGGAATTGTTCTCTAATGTCAACTTTATATTTATTTATTTTTTAAAAATGAGGTTTCTTCTTTTTCCCCCCTCTTTATTGATTTTTAGAGAGAGAGGGAGAGAGAGATAGAAACATCAATGAACATTGATTGGCCGCCTCCTGCATGCCCCCAACTGGGGGTTGGGCCCACAACCTGTGCATGTGTCCTGACCGGGAATCAAACCAGTGACCTCTTGGTGCATGGGTCGACACTCACCATTGAGCCACACTGGCCGGACTCAACTTTATATTTAAAGAGAGTTCCACTTGTGGCTCCAAGGGCTTTGGACAAGTAGACCATTCAACAGTCCCACCCCCAGCCATAGTCATTCAACAAATATAGACTTAATATCTTTTTCATGCCAGGCCTTTCCCTGAGCTGTAGGAACAAAGAAATGAATCATTTGTAAATCATACCTTTGGGGAGCTCTCAGGTTATTGGGGGAAGACTGACGGATTAAATAGACAATTACAATAATGTCACCCTCTTGGAATGCAGTCACTATGAAAGGAAGCCTGGCTTGGCCTGCTGGAAGATGAGACCATGTAGAACATACATGAACTCTCCATACATGGAACCCTCTAGAGACCAACCAGCTCCCAGCT